GAATCTGTTTCTTTTTTGTAGTTTGCCCCCCCCCCCCACCCCGTGATTTGCTGCGCGGATGTCACCCCATTGAAATCAATGGGGCTGCACGGCAATCGCTGTCTGCATTGTGCAGTACCGCACAACACCCGGGACGCGGAGGTGTGAACCTAGCCTGACTGTTGCACTGATTCATTGGCTTTAATATTTTGTGGGTCCCTGACACAGAACAAGAGTTGTGTAGATCAGATGCAGATCAAGAGTTGTGACTTGATTCTGGTTCTGCTTGCTGAATACATTTTCTAGGTCTGTATTTTAGAAGGCATTGAAACCACACAACTAGTTCGCTAGTGTTTTTAAAAGTAATGCTTTCCTGTGCAAGGTCCCCTCTACAGTCCAATAACCCATGGAGGAAGTTGCAGGCTTTGCTTATCCTGCCTGTATAATGGTCTTCATGCATCCAAAGCAGTGGTTGGCCAATGGGTACAAGTTATCCAGTTGTCTCGTGAGCTGGCTTGTCATCAGTCCCTCCTAATACTCCTTACTACCCTACCTTAAAAGAAGAAAAAAAATTATATATTTGAATTGTTTGAAATTTTTTTTAATTTTATTTTTTTAAATCTCCTTTTTAGGTTTTTCAAGTGGCTTGTGTTCAGATACCAACTTTAACAAGGTAAGGTCCTTCTCCATTTTGAGCAAGTTTTAAAATGGTCCATATTTTATAGGGTAAGGTTGCTCACCAATAGCAACTGGCTGTCAAAGTTTTCTCCACAGGTAAGTGGTGATTTTGTAGTGCTTGTAGGAGAATGTGTTAACTACACATACTGTACGTCTGTGCTGTCCTTTCTCTGAACCTTCTATCCTAAACTATGACCAGAGGTCAGTAGCACCATTAGTTCAGTACATCTGGTCTATGTGCTTTTTACTTCTGATCTTTGCTTATTTTTTTTTAATCAAATGATTTGCAGCAGATGGCAGCCCCATAGACGTTTTTTGCTGCCACTACCTAAGAAAAAATAATTGGCAGAAACTGGAAGCGTTGAGCTAAATGTACCACTTGCTGTTCTTTCATAGTTTCAGGTGACCTGTTTGTGAGGGCTTGGAGGCACGTTAAATACACACATTACATCACATTTCCCTTTTCGGATACAATTCCTAGAGCTCCTCTTTCATTAGTAACCTGTGTAAATCAGTCAGTGCATGGACATAAGCAAACAGTTTATTACAGCTACACTACATATTTTTTAGTAACTTTGGCTGCTTGGACAGAGCAAACGACTCTATCTTGTCTTAGGGCTTGTTCACACTTTGTCCAGATCATGTCCAGAACCGTTTGTTCACGGACCAAAAAAGCATCCCAGTGTATCCCTATGGTATTTCTGGGTTCTGTTCACACCAGCGCAGTCCGTTTTCGGACCAGACAAAAATAATACTGCTTGTCTCATTTTCTCTGGTCTAGATTGCACTGGAATCAAAAACGCATACAAAGACACTGGACCGCATTGGAAAGCCCATTTTAAGCTAAAAAACCACAAAACACTTTAACGTGGCAAAAACGCAATGCACTGCGTTCCATATCTGGTCCGGAAAATGGTGGGAACCTGGCCTCAGATTAAATTGCAGTTAAACAAAAGGTGATACAACATTTTACCACTGTTAAAGTGGTAGTAAATCGCTAGCACAAAATTGTAATAGTGGGCCCCCAGGTGGCTTTTGCCGTAATGTGTAGTACGCATAGCATGGAAGACTTGCCTTGAGGGTGATCTGCAATGTCAGCACTCCTCTGTTGCCTGCATCTTTTCCTGCTCTTCAAGTTCAGCCCTTTGATGTAACGTACGAAGAAGACTTCATTCATAAGTACTCAATACATAAGTAAAAATACTGGTTTGTTAAACATTTGTGCAAATACCATGTTATAATAAATTGCAACTAGCCTTTTTTTTAACCATTTTTTTCATTCTACAGGGCCTCTGCTTTCAGAAAATAAATAATTGGGGTTTTGAAGCTGTTTTCTAGCCAAAAAGATCAGATTTTATCTGTGTGTGTGCAAATATTAAGAAATGTATCTGGGCAGCAAGTGGTTAAAGTATATCTGAAGTTGGTTTTTTTTTGTTTGGGCGGGGGTTTAGTGTGGGAGGGGGTAATCTTTGTCCCAGTAGGGAGATTTCTCTCTACTTACTGTTTTGTAGACACAGTAGGGAGTAAAGTAAAATGTTTCTATTGTAAGCAAAATCCTCAGACGGTTTTCACCAGAATAAGTGTCCCCATTGGCAGATTTCCTTTTAGTCTGTTTCAGTGAAAAATGTTATTTACCCCACCCTTCCTTTCCTGGTGAAAGTGGTCGCCATGGCAAATTGAGCAAATTTCCTTTGCAGGGGTATAGCCACCAATTTAAGCCATTACTTTACAACCCTTCCCAAATCTATTGTGGGGAAAAAAACGTTTCTGGCTTTAGACGCACTCTAAAATCGTAAGTTAAAAGTAGTGCATGATCACACACGCAGGACTAAGTGTATTGGTGGCTTTTCTGGAAGGTTTCGCAGCTTTTCTGACCTCTTGAGTTCAGCCTTTCTGGCTGCACAGCCAAGAAGGTCTCCTAGCTTTGAAGATGGCATTTGTGACACTTGCTAGTATTTGTAAAATGAGTTGGTATATAAATATTTAGATGCACACAGATATTACAGCTTGCCTACTTTGTATTTACATTTTTGTATATAGGCATTGGTGTAGATCCCAGTTAACACTATTATAGCTATGAGTGGAGTAGACTGGTAAAAGCTCATGATGCAGGAGAGGAATTAGACTCATTTGCTGTGTCCCTGCTTGCTCTCACAGAGAACACAGAGTGTAGAGAAATGTTAGTACTAATACGTTTCCTAGAACCACCAATCCGATACAAACCTGATTTGGGATTTTGAATATAGTTGGTAATACAGGAAGTACAGAGAGGAAAATCACACAGCAAATGTTTCAGGAAGAGCAACCTTTGTAACGCTAAGGTGTATTCTCTGGATTCTGGTTGTTGAGGACTACAAAGAGCCAGGGCTGCAATTATCGATTATATTATGAATTAATTGGCTAATTTTTATTTTCGATTAATCAGGAGGACCAAAAAAATACCATCCTTCATTTAAAATAAAATACAGAAATAGAGAAGTGATACAAACATAAAGTTTACCTCAGAATAAAACTGCATGCACAATTTTTTGCAATTGCACAGCACAGGAATGCACGGCATTGCGTTACCTTGCGTTTCTGTGCAAGTGAGTGCACTGTGGGCGGGAGGCGTGTTTGGGGTGGCACTGATTTTTTTTTTTTTTTTGGGGGAAAACATGCTTTTTTCAACTTTTTTTTTTTTTTTTTTTTTTTCCTATTTTAAATGCTTTAACTTTTTTTTTATTTTTTTAACCTTACTGTTGGGTGCTTTGGAGAAACATCAAGGGTCTACACTCATATCTCCATTTTTTTTTTCTGCAACCCCAGCAGTCATTGAACAAGAATCACTTAGTACAAAGGCTCATTCAGAAATCGAGGAGATGGTATACAATGTCCACAATCATGAATGAACAGGAAGTGATATAAAGCACTTCCTGTTCATTCATAATTGCTGACACAGTATCTGAAGACTATGTCCTCAATTTGCAAACATCGTGATGAGTACTGATCACTGCGATGTTTGAATATTACAGGGAGCAGCCAGTAAATCTTTCACATATTTGCTGATCATAGTCAGTAAAAAAATAAACCTGTGTGGTAGCAAAAAGCCATTCAGAGGATCAAGATGGCAGGTATTGAGCCTGCATCTATAAAAACAGTCATTATGGACATAATGACATTTCTACTGCACCCCTCAGGTTAACTTTGAAGGGGGCCTTGCATAAATGGTAAATTCACTTAATCTCTATTCCTCCCCTCCTACCGTCTTACTTTAGGTAGGAGACGTGTGTATTTAAATTTTTTTGTTTTCTTTGTACCTTTTTAAAAGATTACTGTGGGGTACAACTTTTTTTTAGCAATTTGTATTTTGCAATGCACTACTGTAATAAAAATCCACCATAAGCTTGCATTTTAATGTAATATTGTGGGCGGGGATCCTGACAATATTGTCGGGATCCTCACCAATCTACTCCCATTGGGTGACAGCAGCTTGTAGGAACTGCAGCGCGTTTATGAATACACATGTGGGCGCACCAGTTCCATGTAACCTTATGGTGGATGTATGATTTAGAGAAGTACATTGCAAAATGTATTCCTTTATCATTGGGATACTAAAAATGTGTACCCTACAGTTCTTTAAAGTGACATTAAAGTAGAATTAAACACTTTTTTAGTTATATGCAAGAACATAAAAAATAAAAACGTTAACAAATGGGTAAAAACATACCTGTGTCTTCGCTGTTGGCTCCCCTCTGAAGATTCTCGAGTGGCCGTGAAGGATCATGGGGCAGGCGCAGCAGAGATCCTGCACAGCTATTTGAGAAGCTTCAGATGGGAGCGAGCGGCAGAGACGCTGGTAAATTACTTTTTTTTTTTTTTAATGTTTACAAAATATTTTTGGATATATTTACTGCTTGCTAGCAGTAGATATGAGAAAATATAAGCCCAACTTTAAAGTAGAATTAAACTTTCCTTTTGTTTTTCCATATATTTGTGTGTTTTTATGTCTGTGGATGATGACAAATATTTTAAGTTCGAATGTATTTATTTTTCTAACTAGTTTACCAGTGCCCCATCTTCTTTGAAATATGCTCAGGAAGAAATGTGTGATTCTCCAGGTCAAGAAATGAGTTCATCTGTAGCAAGTTTTCTGGAAAATGAAAAGTTAATATCTATTGCCAGCTTAGATGGCAGTTCTTCAGGTAAGAGCTATGATAAAAATATTTTTAAAAAGATGTTATTTTGCTTAAACGGGAACTATGAGGTGAGTGCTTTTCACTCACCTCATAGTTCTAGCCGACCTGTGACAATGAGACTGTCACAGGTCGGCTCAGTAGATCGGGAAGTGAGCGAACACATACCGGCCTTTGCTCACTTCTCGATCCTGTCACGGCTCTCTGCTGCGACAGGGGAGGGGCTGGATTCCCCCCCTCCCCGCTCCGATCCTCCAGCGCTGACTGGCGGAACGGACGGGGGAGGGGGCAGGTACAGCTGGCTCTGCCTCTAGATGGTAGCTTGCGGAATACTGAGCTTAGGGTGACGGGAGGACGCTAGTTTGTTTCCTGCCGTTACCCTAAGGAGAACTATGGGGAAAAGCCTTTTCCCATAGTTCTCTAAATGTAGCTTTTATCCAGTTTTCTTTTTTTTTTTAATAGGAACTCCAAGAATATTTTTTCTATTTCTTTTTGATTGGTGGTGTATTGCTGTGTATTCTGTGTGGGTGTAAACACACACATATATTTCTTTAGGGTTTTTTCATTGGAACAAGATAGGCTTTGCAAGCATAAAAGCAAAGCAGTCCGAGCAGAGTTCTCTCAGCAAAACAAGAGGTAAAAAGGGTTTGAAAGTACCAAGTAACAACACCTCTATTGCTAAGTTGTCAACAGAGGTGGTTTGGCATTTATAAATGAAAGCCAACTTGTAAGCCATGAAATGTCATAGAAATTTGGAGATGCCAAACCCCACTCCCCTCCAGGCTTGTAACCTGGTTCGAGCCATTGTAGCTGTGGAGTTATTCCACACCAAGGAGGAAACTGTAGAAAACATTTGTTAGAAGACCCTTTTAGTAACTAACATAGGGTTGCCTGGAGTAGGAATGAGGTTTATAGGGAGATCTTCATGAAATTCAATGTAACAGGTTTAGGGGACAGTGTGTACCATATCTTTTTGGTTTAGCTTCTATTAGTCTTATAATAGCCTATAGGTTCATGGAGGTGAATCTGTAAAGTTCATTATGAACATGAATGCCTAGATATTTTAAAGTAACAGTTAAGTTGCTGAATGAGGCGTTGGGATGCTAATCCAAAGAGCCATTGATTTTTTTATTTTTTTTCCCCACCTGACAAATCCAGTAGCGAAGGCCTTTCCTGTCTCATGGTTTAAATAATTGTTCACCATGCTTCAACTAGGGTTCCCACTAACAGATGTCTTGGCGGTCTTCTTGCTGTACTCGACAGGTTTGCCCTCTATTACCTTTTTTCTCCAGCACACTTGCCAGCCAGCCTGCAAAAAAAGCCCTGCACCTCACAATGGCAACTGAAGCCCTCTTGGTGTTAAACATGCAGTTTGGCAGTGAAATCATGGCATCCTGAAGATGCATTGAATGATTGCATTGCTTGACGGTCTAGAGTAGAGTACATTGTTTCCCCACTTGTGCAGAGCAATTGGGTTAAATTCCTGCACAATACAACTGGTGGCTTGGAGCTCCCACCACTCAAAGAGAAAACTAATGCAGTCACCACATCTAAAGACTGATGCTTTGGAATATATAAAATCTTTAGTCTTGGGTTCAAATATACTTTGTGAGCTAATTAACACATTTTGTGAAATCACTTTATTCCCAGGATTATATTCAGATTTGAAATTGCTAGGTGCATTTATGGTTAATTACGTTGCCATCCATTGCTTTATCTTTAATACATTGCTCTTGCAGTTAAGAGTATCTAATGTTCTTTCTTTGCAGATGAAGAGCTAAATGATGAAGAATTTTATGACGATGAGTTAGAAGAATACTTTAAACAACTTCGTCCCCCTGGAATCCAACGTGGTGTTATTGAGGGGCAGGAAATTGAAGAGCCAAAGAGAGCATCCGACATGGTAGAATGGATTCATGCTAATTTCCCATGCTCTTATGGCTTCAGTGCTGCAAATGACTTGTCAATTAAAATCAATGAAATTGCAATTATAACTGTGACCATACTGTGCAGTGTAACTTCCATCAATTGCTTTCCATTACTGTTGTGTATATTAGGCCCTGAACAAACAAACAAACAAAAAAAGATTCCCTAATGCTGGGCATAGCCTAAAGGTGGGCATACACCTATACGTGTTTTGTGATTGACCTAGGTGGTAATTCATAATGACATTTTTGTATTTTGTGCACGTATGTTAAAACACACATTTTAGGCCTGAAGAGTTAAAAACCAGAATTAGACCCGGGAAAAAAAAATGAAATTTGATGTTTTCTGAAAGCCTGAAGAATAAATTGGTGGCAGTTGCTACTTTTTATGTTTCATGATATTTGTGCAACTGTGTATCAAACACACAGTGCAGAACCCATGCCTTGAGATCTTAACCCATTGTTAGGACAGTGTCTGTGATCTGCCGTCACAGTACAGACAGGGTTAATTATGGTCAACATTAACGCCCTAGTCCCCTTAAGATTATGCCGCAGGGGAAACCTTCAGTTTTGCTATGTGGATGGGAGCATGTAATAAAAATAGGTTTTATCTGAATTTGCCTGCAAAAGTGGAAATACACTTTAACCCCTTCATGACTGAGGCCCTTGTTTCAATTTTTGCACCCATGTTATATTCCACATTTTAGGTCTGAAAATGACGTAAAACCCCCAACATTATATATTTTCTGAATGCCAAGACCCTATAGAATAAAATGGTGGTAGTTGAAAATTTTTATGTTGCGCAATATTAGCGCAACTCCTTATTAAACCCCAAAATTTAGTGACAAATTTTGGATATATTTACTGCTTGCTAGCAGTAGATATGAGAAAATATAAGCCCAACTTTAAAGTAGAATTAAACTTTCCTTTTGTTTTTCCATATATTTGTGTGTTTTTATGTCTGTGGATGATGACAAATATTTTAAGTTCGAATGTATTTATTTTTCTAACTAGTTTACCAGTGCCCCATCTTCTTTGAAATATGCTCAGGAAGAAATGTGTGATTCTCCAGGTCAAGAAATGAGTTCATCTGTAGCAAGTTTTCTGGAAAATGAAAAGTTAATATCTATTGCCAGCTTAGATGGCAGTTCTTCAGGTAAGAGCTATGATAAAAATATTTTTAAAAAGATGTTATTTTGCTTAAACGGGAACTATGAGGTGAGTGCTTTTCACTCACCTCATAGTTCTAGCCGACCTGTGACAATGAGACTGTCACAGGTCGGCTCAGTAGATCGGGAAGTGAGCGAACACATACCGGCCTTTGCTCACTTCTCGATCCTGTCACGGCTCTCTGCTGCGACAGGGGAGGGGCTGGATTCCCCCCCTCCCCGCTCCGATCCTCCAGCGCTGACTGGCGGAACGGACGGGGGAGGGGGCAGGTACAGCTGGCTCTGCCTCTAGATGGTAGCTTGCGGAATACTGAGCTTAGGGTGACGGGAGGACGCTAGTTTGTTTCCTGCCGTTACCCTAAGGAGAACTATGGGGAAAAGCCTTTTCCCATAGTTCTCTAAATGTAGCTTTTATCCAGTTTTCTTTTTTTTTTTAATAGGAACTCCAAGAATATTTTTTCTATTTCTTTTTGATTGGTGGTGTATTGCTGTGTATTCTGTGTGGGTGTAAACACACACATATATTTCTTTAGGGTTTTTTCATTGGAACAAGATAGGCTTTGCAAGCATAAAAGCAAAGCAGTCCGAGCAGAGTTCTCTCAGCAAAACAAGAGGTAAAAAGGGTTTGAAAGTACCAAGTAACAACACCTCTATTGCTAAGTTGTCAACAGAGGTGGTTTGGCATTTATAAATGAAAGCCAACTTGTAAGCCATGAAATGTCATAGAAATTTGGAGATGCCAAACCCCACTCCCCTCCAGGCTTGTAACCTGGTTCGAGCCATTGTAGCTGTGGAGTTATTCCACACCAAGGAGGAAACTGTAGAAAACATTTGTTAGAAGACCCTTTTAGTAACTAACATAGGGTTGCCTGGAGTAGGAATGAGGTTTATAGGGAGATCTTCATGAAATTCAATGTAACAGGTTTAGGGGACAGTGTGTACCATATCTTTTTGGTTTAGCTTCTATTAGTCTTATAATAGCCTATAGGTTCATGGAGGTGAATCTGTAAAGTTCATTATGAACATGAATGCCTAGATATTTTAAAGTAACAGTTAAGTTGCTGAATGAGGCGTTGGGATGCTAATCCAAAGAGCCATTGATTTTTTTATTTTTTTTCCCCACCTGACAAATCCAGTAGCGAAGGCCTTTCCTGTCTCATGGTTTAAATAATTGTTCACCATGCTTCAACTAGGGTTCCCACTAACAGATGTCTTGGCGGTCTTCTTGCTGTACTCGACAGGTTTGCCCTCTATTACCTTTTTTCTCCAGCACACTTGCCAGCCAGCCTGCAAAAAAAGCCCTGCACCTCACAATGGCAACTGAAGCCCTCTTGGTGTTAAACATGCAGTTTGGCAGTGAAATCATGGCATCCTGAAGATGCATTGAATGATTGCATTGCTTGACGGTCTAGAGTAGAGTACATTGTTTCCCCACTTGTGCAGAGCAATTGGGTTAAATTCCTGCACAATACAACTGGTGGCTTGGAGCTCCCACCACTCAAAGAGAAAACTAATGCAGTCACCACATCTAAAGACTGATGCTTTGGAATATATAAAATCTTTAGTCTTGGGTTCAAATATACTTTGTGAGCTAATTAACACATTTTGTGAAATCACTTTATTCCCAGGATTATATTCAGATTTGAAATTGCTAGGTGCATTTATGGTTAATTACGTTGCCATCCATTGCTTTATCTTTAATACATTGCTCTTGCAGTTAAGAGTATCTAATGTTCTTTCTTTGCAGATGAAGAGCTAAATGATGAAGAATTTTATGACGATGAGTTAGAAGAATACTTTAAACAACTTCGTCCCCCTGGAATCCAACGTGGTGTTATTGAGGGGCAGGAAATTGAAGAGCCAAAGAGAGCATCCGACATGGTAGAATGGATTCATGCTAATTTCCCATGCTCTTATGGCTTCAGTGCTGCAAATGACTTGTCAATTAAAATCAATGAAATTGCAATTATAACTGTGACCATACTGTGCAGTGTAACTTCCATCAATTGCTTTCCATTACTGTTGTGTATATTAGGCCCTGAACAAACAAACAAACAAAAAAAGATTCCCTAATGCTGGGCATAGCCTAAAGGTGGGCATACACCTATACGTGTTTTGTGATTGACCTAGGTGGTAATTCATAATGACATTTTTGTATTTTGTGCACGTATGTTAAAACACACATTTTAGGCCTGAAGAGTTAAAAACCAGAATTAGACCCGGGAAAAAAAAATGAAATTTGATGTTTTCTGAAAGCCTGAAGAATAAATTGGTGGCAGTTGCTACTTTTTATGTTTCATGATATTTGTGCAACTGTGTATCAAACACACAGTGCAGAACCCATGCCTTGAGATCTTAACCCATTGTTAGGACAGTGTCTGTGATCTGCCGTCACAGTACAGACAGGGTTAATTATGGTCAACATTAACGCCCTAGTCCCCTTAAGATTATGCCGCAGGGGAAACCTTCAGTTTTGCTATGTGGATGGGAGCATGTAATAAAAATAGGTTTTATCTGAATTTGCCTGCAAAAGTGGAAATACACTTTAACCCCTTCATGACTGAGGCCCTTGTTTCAATTTTTGCACCCATGTTATATTCCACATTTTAGGTAATGCCGCAGGGGAAACCTTCAGTTTTGCTATGTGGATGGGAGCATGTAATAAAAATAGGTTTTATCTGAATTTGCCTGCAAAAGTGGAAATACACTTTAACCCCTTCATGACTGAGGCCCTTGTTTCAATTTTTGCACCCATGTTATATTCCACATTTTAGGTCTGAAAATGACGTAAAACCCCCAACATTATATATTTTCTGAATGCCAAGACCCTATAGAATAAAATGGTGGTAGTTGAAAATTTTTATGTTGCGCAATATTAGCGCAACTCCTTATTAAACCCCAAAATTTAGTGACAAATTTAATTAAATGCCCCAAAACACAACAAATTACCCATTTTTTAAATGAAATATAAAAGATGAGGTTACAACGAGTAAAACGATACCCAACATGCCCAGTTTACAGATTGCGTGCGACCGTGAAACGGCGAAAAACTGCAGTACCCCAAAAAGTCAATAGACGCTTTAAAAGCCCCCACAGGTCATCAATTTAGAAATACCCCAAAATACTGGCCCTAGGATTATTGCTCTCACTCCGGCGTGCGCGGCGATACCCAACATGTGTAGCGCGTTCGTCGTTTTCATGCGTAGGCGCACCCGACGCGTGTTTACGTGGCGACGCGCGTGCTCGCGGGGGCGGGGTACTTTTAAAATTTTTTTTTTATTATTATTAGATTTATTTTATTTCATTTTAATTTTAAAAACTGTTTTTTTTTTTTTTTTTACTTTACTTTGACTGCTATCACATGGGGGGGCTTGCAAGCCCCCCCATGTAATAGCAGATGGTGGTGACAGGTCCTCTTTAAGGTGATGCTGGGGGTCCAAAAGACCCTCAGTGTCACCTTTACACTGGAAATAAGCTATTGAAGTGCAGATCGCACTTCAATAGCTTATAGCTGGGCTGCAGGAGCCCAGAACTGACAGCCCAGGGACCGGAAGTGATGCAATCTGCATCGCTCCCGGTCCCATAGAACGGGGAGGGGATCGATGAACGGAAGTTCGTCGACCTCCTCCCCAGCTCCCCGCGGACACAAAGATCGCCGGTCCCGGGCCCGTAGGAGGGGCAACGGAGCCCGGGAAGCACGGCGGGGGTGTCCGGCGGGGGGGGCGGCCCCTTCTTCGGGACGCAGAAGCGATCTGGCGACAGGTAAGTCGCCAGGATCGCTTCTGTTGTAAAGCCGACAGTCGGCTCTACAAGTTTAAACAGACTCCCGGCGGCAAAAGTCGCCGGGAGTCTGTTTAAACAGCCCCGATGCTGGCGACGTACACTGTACGTACGTCGTACGTCGTCAGTCACGAAGGGGTTAAGGAAAGGTTTGCCTCAAGACTACTGAGGAAAAAGTTTCTTCTTTCAGTTAGTACAAATTAATACGAAATAGATAATCTTGATCACAAGGCTTGTTTTTCCCCCAGGCAATAAACAATTTTTCAAGCGGAGCTGCAAATCAAGATCATGATGCTCTTCAGTATGATGAGGACTTTGAGGTAACTGTTTTTTTTTTTCTAGGTTTTTAAATCTAGAAAAGAATGTACATGTATGCCAAGTGATGGCAAATGCAGAACAATAGAATTCAGATTACTGAAGGTTATATACAGGGCTTTGTACTTAACCATTATGGGTCAACAGTGTCCCATCAATGTTGAACAGTAGACAAAGGGTCGATGGATACTCCTTGAATCCTTCATTTATATTTGTCAGATACCTTGTGATTACAGACATACCAGACTTTGATGTACTTCTGATTTTATATTGTGTACATTTTCTGCAAATTGCAAGTAGTCCTTGTTTGATGCTTTGTTGCTTCCCTTATGCCAGGAGGACTTCCAGATGCTTCAGGTTCGACTTGCAGCGACAGGAATGGATTCGGCTCCAGCTAGTGATGATGATGACTTAGAACTTGAGTTGGAGAGGGGAGCACAGCAACCCTTACAAAGAGAGCACTTCCTGGAGAATACAGAAAGGCATTTGGTAAAGATATATGTACAGTGTTTCTGATGTCTTGTGTGTTGCAAGGCACTTTTCCTACAATGGTAATGTGCACAACTGTCTCCTCACTCCAAGCAGACCTCTGCCCTGGCCAGCAGGTTCAGGCAAGTTTGACTGCGTAGAACAGGAATTGGTATATCTTTGTATCTGCCGCTCAGACACTGTGCCAATAAAGGTCTGGGTAGCCGAAAGAATACAAGCACACCTTTACCACTCGCAATGCATCCCTCTCCCATCATATTGCTTCCCACTCTGCTGTCATACAGGAGGAAGTGGCTACTTAAGTGTTCTTTTGCTGCTTCTGTCCCCTGCCACCTGCATACAAAGTCAGCTCTGACAGTTGACTCAGTTCCAAAAGGGTCTCCTCTGCCTGTGTTCCCAGCAACTTGCGCACTTCACTCAACTCTGCTTCACAAATGCAACTGTTCTAAAATGGTTCCACTTTTATAAGCATTCATAAAAGGAAAGTGGCAGGAAACATAGCATGCAGCAGAAAGTTGGTACAGGCTGCTGCAGGTTACATGACACATTTTTTTTTTTTTGTTTACTATGTTTAGGAAGGGAATTGGGAAAAAGCAGCTGCACAGTATCCCAAATATAACAAAAAAGGATGTTAAAAAATACCCAGCGCTAAATTCAGTAAATTAACCAGAGTGCAATCATGCAATACGAAGTGTATAGAGGTTAAGCCAAAAATCAATGAATGTGGAAAAATACAAATACTCCTGCAAAGTGCAAGCAGTGCAGTCCACTGCAAAGTGAAAAAAGAGTTGTTAATATGGTATTTGTTCTAGTTATGGAGCATTCAGCTCGCATGCATAGTCATGTCACCTGGACAGAAAGAGAAGGAACATCACTCCAACCTGGAAACAGACAGCAATACAAGCGTAACCGGGTCCCAACTCTGTCACCGCTAATTTTGTTGAGCTTTTATACACTGGATTGGTTCATATTTGGATACATGTCTAAGAGCAAAAATTACATTTTTTTTTTGTATTGACCTTATATGAGATGCCTATGGTTTAGCAATGCAGTGTGCTTTCTGGTGCATTGCACTTGCAATTCAGATCAGTTTTTATGCAAACAAAAGCCTCCTCACACTGGCCCGTACTGTGACCGCTGCATATTGGTAACTACAAAAAAGTTTTAGCTGGAGTTCCAAAATAGGTGATATTTGTTTTATATTTTGTCTCTTTTAGTGATATTATCTGACAGTATTTGATTAACTTTGTATCTATGAACTGTGTTTTTTAGATTGGTGAGCAGCATAGACCAAGCTTTCGGCCAGGCTTGGAAGGAGGCAGTTCAGAAGAGGAATCTTCAAATGAAATATTAAATGTTCCTAAACATGGTGCCGCTTTGTCATGTAGGCAGTCTGCAGAAGGCCATGGTATTTCTTATCCTAGAGCTTCTACAGTAGTTGGTATGTGGGTTTAAACATTTTGTGTGTGTAAAAATATGAGATCGTCCCCTGTTTTCTGCTTGTCAGCTCACATCACAGCTAGCTCAGTCAAATCTTTATTTGTCAATGATCTGGCAAATCTTTATGAAATGTTAAAGTTCCCTATTCTCAGACCCAGAATTTGTCAATCAGCTTTTTCAAACACCCTAAATACCTCATGTCTATCTCTAACTACTCTCCCTACCTGTTTACTTCTACACAGTGCTGTGAGATGTGGACATTGTTGGAAAGACAAGAGTGCCTCTGAAGTGTAGGCAATGAGTGACAGCCTGGCTACACCCTATCTATGGTGTGTGAGAAGCAAGATGGTGACACCCAATGGGGGGAATACTGGTTCATTAGGGACAAACTTGTTTGAATTATGGACCAGCAAGATTAAATAGCCTATACTAGGAAGAGGTTTCTGTAAACCATGGCAGAGATTAACTGAGAACTGTATGCGAGGGCAACTATATGATTTCTGTGTGTGTTTATAGACTAATATTTTATTATTGTGTGTGTTTTATTTCATGCGAGCACACAGTTTAGTAGCACATTTTTACAATTTCTTTTTTTTTTTATAGCAAACTAATGTGAAGAGTGGACTGTTGATGGTTTTATTGTTTTCAGCTGACATGCAGTACACTCCTTACCTTTATACTAGGGTTACCAACATGACATACTCTTAAAGTTCTTTGAACTATTGTCATTTTCTTTTATATCACAGCTATATTCATGAACTTTTAATATTGTTTTTCCCCAATTATTAGGACAAGGGCTTGGTCTTGGAGATGGTAGCAATGGAAGTAAAGATGGTTTGAAGGCGTTCGAGGCATTGAGTACACACACCTCTGGCTCGAGGAAAAAAGATATTCGTAGCAGAAATGTTGCAGGGGAAGAAAGTTTGGGTTTTTCTCGTCGGGTAAGTAACATTACTGTGGGCAAGGGCTAATATGTGAAAAGTGGAACAGTTACCTACAACATCTTATCTGAACAATGGGAGTGTGCTTCAAAGGGATACTGCTCCAGGTGGAATTTTGGCTTGCCACTGGTAATTGTTGGGCAATGTCCAAGCAGGGCCCATCTGCTCCCTGAAATCAAAGTGAATATGATTCACGTTCATTACTGGGTGCAACAGATTCCTCCATCTACCCCAAACTGTGCAGATGGAGGAATCTCCCACTGTGCAAAGTTTCAGTATCTTGCTTGTTTCCCCCGCTGGCTCTCAAAATACCTGAACAATCTGATTGGATGCAGGCATTGTTCAGTGTTTTTGAGAGCCAGTGGGGCTGACTAGCAAGATACTGAAGCTTGGCGCAGTGGTGATTCTTCCATCCACACAGTTTAGCATAGATGGAGGAATCTGTTGCACTTTTTATGTCTGACCATACAAAATCTGCAGAAAATCTATGTGTATGTCCAGCTTAAGACAGCAAGCGTGTTAGAACTACAGAACACTTCCTCTCCATCTCAATAACATTGGGTGGAGATATTTTGTAGTTCAGCGGTTATCAGGACAGGGCTGTTAAGATTCCTTGAAACGCAAGCACTGTTATCTGTTAACTACAGGAGGTTAGGAGCTCACGGAACCGTATTTCTGGTAGGATCTTTTTTTGTTTTTGTTTGTAGTATAATTAAAAACTTGTTGCTGTTTAAGTAATGCACATGCCCTTAACCCTTACTTGTGTTATACGAGTGCAAAGCAATCACCGTACACAAGCCTGATGTTCTGCAAAATCCATCGATCTACTTCGCCTGCCTGCTCATTCACCTACTAGAGAACAGTATAATAATGTTTCTAGCCAGAGGGTTCTCTCTCTCTTTTAGAAGTCCAACTCCCACCCAACTTTCGCAGAGTAGATATTTCTTCTGCAAGCCTGACTTTAACTTTCCACAGCTTGAGCTAAATGGGTATTTTTTTATACATTTGCCTTGATTTTCATTAACATTGATTTTTTGTTTTAGTGTTCTGAGAACCGTATAGCTCCTGTTGGAAATGGTGAAACTAGAAAAGAATTGTCAAGACAAACTTTGGAACAAGACCAAAGTAAAACTTTCAAAGATGATCTGAAACATGTAAGTGAATCCTGAAATAATTGTAAAATACTAGGGGGTGGGGAATTTATCATAGAGTGAGAGTTTTTGTTTTAACTCTCGTATGGTCGCATGGGATATATTTGCGCCGGATTTATGTTGCTAGTGTAATGTTCTTCATAAATTAGATTAAATAGACTCCAGGAAAGAAGACTCGTAACTGCAGGCAAAAAGCTTAACTGTTGCTTTTTGAAGAAGTGGTCATGGGGACTTCAGTAGCGATTGTTTTGTTAGGTAATGCTCAGATGTAAATGGTTGCAAAATAGTGCAAGCTCTGGTCAAAACTGGCACAAATGTTAAAAGGAGCAGCTAAACAGATTTGCACATTTAAAAAAAAATAAAAAAAAGTGATTGAGGCTAAAACAGTCGCAATTGCTTTGATAAATTACCCCCATTGTGTTTTATCAAGGAGATATGGAAACGTATGCATTATCTTTACCTAATTGACCGAATTTATATGGTTTAGCCATTAAATCTCATGCAATTCTGGAAACTGCAGCTATAAAAGTGAAAGAACCTCTTATCTAGACGGCTGGGGGATTCTCCTTCGAAGCGCTTCGGGAACATAGAATGAACTACACTGAGGCAGATTCACACATGCTCAGTTTATTATAACAGTTTCTCAGTCTTTATACTGTACAGAATGCTGAATCAACGTTTAAACTTTGTACCATATACGCACATAGTGAAGAGAGGCAGTGTTTTGAGAAATAAAGACAAATTTTGGAGTCATATAACATTAGTCATAGATAACTCTTATCACTAACGGCCAGTTCCAACATGCTATACCATAAGAAAAGTGCAGAGTACAATACAGATAAACAAAAGCAGACATAGACTGAAAATCTACTGAATACTCATTTTAAGACTTTCTTGACTTTTAACATATATTTCTAAAGAGGACCGGTATTATATTGAATTAAAAAGGGGGCTTGTATTGTATTATCAAATGATACTTTCAAAAAGGAACCTCACAAAAAAATTACATAAACACTATTCTGCTCTAAATCTTATCAGTTGTAAGTGGGTGTGAAGTTACAGCTGCTCACATATATAGGGTTACATGAACCTTCAAATATATTTTGTATTTAATAGGGATGCTCCGATACCACTTTTTTTAAGACAGAGTACCGATACTTTTTTTCCAAGTACTCGCCGGTACCAATTTGACAGGTCACATTTTTTCTAAAGCGATACAAAAATCATGATTTTAGGTCAGTTTCTTAATATTATGAAGAACATGAACATGAAATTAATATCATGCCATTGCTAACTAAGGCTTGAATCTCCATAGTGGGGTAAATGAGCACATGTCCAGACTTTAGACCAGAACACTGTGTAGTGTTGCACAGCTATATCCAATTCTGGCTTTATATTATAAAATTCTTATAATATAAAGCCAGGTATGCAGAATTGGATATAGCTGTGCCACACTATACAATAATGCACTGTTCATCACATGTATATACAACACATGTGCTCATCTATTTTCCCCACAATGGGGATACAAGCCTTAATTAGCAATGACATGATCTAAATATACAGTTCATTTCATTATTCAGTGTCTCTTTTTTATATTATAAAATGTATAATATAAAAAAATAGACATTGAATAATGAAATTAATATTTAGATCATGCCATTACTAACTAAGGCTTGTATCCCGATAGAGGGGAAAATAGATGAGCACATGTCCAGACTCCAGAACACTGTAGTGTGGCACAGCTATATCCAATTCTGTATAACTGGCTTTATAATAAATTTTTTAATAATATAAAGCCAGGTATGCAGAATTGGATATAGCTGTGCCACACTATACAGTGTTCTGGAGTCTGGACATGTGCTCATCTATTTTCCCCTCTATGGGGATACAAGCCTTAGTTAGCAATATCTACATAGTTATTTCTTGTCTTTTTTTTCTTTTTTTATAATGTATAATAATATAAAAAAAAGACATTGAGTAATGAAATTAACTGAATATTTAGAGCAGCTAATCAGCTGACACCAAAGGATAATACGTTTCATATAACGTGAAGCCATTGATTATCATGTAGTTGTTTGGCTCCTTTTTAAAGCACCCAAATGGCCCTGATCAAGTTTACATAACCCTAGAATGTTTGGCCTTGTTACAGACACACAAGGTGACACACACAGGTTTAAAAATGGCAATTAAAGGTTAATTTCCCACATCTGTGGCTTTTTAAATTGCAATTAGTGTCTGTGTATAAATAGTCAGTGTGTTGGCCCTCATATGGATGCACTGAGCTGGCTAGATACTGAGCCATGGGGTGCAGAAAAGGAGTGTCGAGCACAAAATGCCGATACATGAACAAAAATGAGCTGCACGGTGGAGTTGCCAAAAAGAAGCCTTTACTGCGCCAATGCCACAGAAAAGCCTGAATACGATATGCCTGAGAACACCTTGACATGCCTCACAGCTTCTGGCACACTGTAATTTGGAGTGACGAGACCAAATAGAGCTTTATGGTCACAACCATAAGTGCTATGTTTGAAGAGGGGTCAACAAGGCCTAAAACGACAAGAATACCATCCCTGCTGTGAAGCATGGTGGTAGCTGATGTTTGGGGGGGGGTGAGCTCTAAAGGCACAGGGAATCTTGTGAAAATTAATGGCCAAACACTGCGCAAACTGGCGCTATATAAATCTTCTATAATAATGCATTCTTCTGCACATGGGTCACTCTTGGACTTTCCAGCACAACAATGACCCTAACCACAATGCCAAGTTGACCCTCCAGTGCTTTCAGCAGAAAAAGGTGAAGGTCCTGGAGTGGTCATCTGTCTCCTGACCTTAATTGCATCAAGCCACTCTGGGGGGATCTCAAACGTGCGGTTCATGCATGACGACCAAAGACTTTGCATGACCTAGAGGCATGTTGCCAAGATGAATGGGCAGCTATACCACCTGCAAGAATTCGGGGCCTCCTAGACAACTATTACAAAAGACTGAACGATGTCATTGATGCTGACGTTTTTGTTATATAATTGTGCCATTCTGTTTATGACCTACAGTTGAATATGAATCCCATAAGAAATGTCTTTTGTTTTCTTAAAAAATTGTACATATGTTAACAATTCTGCAAGGGTGAGCAAACCTTTGAGCACAACTGTATGCAGGTGCTTATAATACAGGTGAAACTCGAATAATTAGAATATTTTGCAAAAGTAATGGCAGTAATTGCTGCAAAAGGGGCCCAAATCAAGTACTGAGTACATATGCATGCTTGTACTTTTCAGAGGTCCGATATTGTTCTATGTACAATCCTTGTTTTATTGATTGCATGTAATAATCTACTTTTTTGAGGTTGTGGATTTGGGGTTCTTGGGGTTTCCATGAGCTATAAGCCATAATCATCACAATTATGACAAATCACGGCTTGAACTATCTTGCTTTGCATGTAATGAGTCTATCTCATATATTAGTTTCACCTTTTAAGTTGCATTAGTGAAATAAATGAACTTTGCACGATATTCTAATTATTCGAGTTTCACCTGTATGTCAGTACCTTTGCTATGTACTCATCCCAAGTTAATGACTTGCATAGTAGTAAAGCAAAGACAAATGAGGGTACCAAAGCATACGAAACAAGCTATATTCTCTAGTTGCCATGTTACTGACCTTTAAATTTCCTAAAATGAAAATGTTTTGGAGGAACCAGATAGTCCTGAACCAGGTTTTAAAGCATTGATGTTAAAGGCTTGCCAGCAGAGGTCTCTAGTGAATCAAGGTACAGTTCTGACTGTTATCCACAATAGTTTATGTTCAAAATCTGAACTTGCCCTAAAGTCTTCTGTTTTATGTTTTTAAATTGTTTTTCACACCGTCAAAAATATTACAGTGGTTGTGAAACTGGAATCTTATGTTGTGATTTTTTTATTTTAACTCTAAATTATAAACTTCTTTTTTTTTTTTTGTCTGGGTTTTTTTTTTCTTGTAGAGCTCAAGCAATCTGGAGTTCTCAGAAGCCAATGTGGCTCAAAAGCTGGATTCCATTTACTTTCAGGAAAGCAGAACGCCGAATCAACAGTCTGTCATGGAAGGCAGCACCCACTTATCTCACATGTTTTCATCTAGCGTTAGTGGTGGATTGGATCTTGAGAGACCACCTGAATCAGGAGATGTACAGATGACAGGCTCAAGTACAGCTGTTGTCAGTGGTTTAGCAGATGAATACTTATCGCCTACGTATTTACAAAATAAAAAAGCGTCCTCAGATGCCTGGCAGTCTTTTCAAGCACAGGCCTTTCAGTGGAGCTTTGATCAAGGTGGCAGTGAAAAAGGTAATGTGATGAAAAGCACTTCTCGTAACAGTCAAGCTTTATAATGTAGTTATGCTGCACATAGAGTTAAAGCCTAACCTTGGGCACGGATAACATTGGGGATGATCTAACACTGAGTAATACTCAAGCCACGATCGCATTGACATTTGGATCTCTAAATTTCTGCCATGTAACGCTTGATTGTGTGCTCTTTTTGAGTCACTATGTGACTCCTTCTCTTGGCCACTGGTATGGCATTTTTAAGTGATGAGGTGAGCTTTCACAATGGCAAGGAGACCATCAAGAAGAGTACCTTCAAGGGACCGGTTGTCTCCTCCAAAACCAGTAGGGAAGGAGACTGCAGGACCATGGGTTAAGTATTATTTTGTATTCATCTGCTAGGCAAAACAACCATAGTTTTCATGCGGTGGTGAGACTAATTATTTTATCACTGCCTGTGGAATGTGCTCTGATTTGGGGGTGCCTTAAATTACTGGTGAACAACTGAATCTTAAATAAGTGTTGGGTTTATTTACAAGTAGGGATATACATGCATTCTAAATACAATTAAGGGAATTTGAAAGGGGAATTGAGGTTAAGGATCCTACAGCTAGCTACACCATTCTCTCTCTCTCTCTTTCACACATGCCATGGGGTTTTTCTCCTGTTCTCAGAACACGCCTCTCCAGCAGGTCTCAGCGAATCACATTCTTGATTGCAGAGTTCAGAAAGACTTGTCTTGTCCAAAGGTCTTGCTGTTCAGCTAGGTTAGTGTCACACAGGAAGAAGGTTCAATCATATGCCCCTGCCCCAATCCCAGCATATATGCCTTGCTGACACGGGTGTGGGCAGTAAATACCAGCAGGGGGTCGGGCTTGCCCCAGGACATGACAGTCCAGCAGATCTCCTTTGATCAGTGTCCAGCCCCAAGAACCTCCAAGAACCCTTTGATGGTCTTCATTCGCATATCAAACAGCCACGGGCCATTCACGATATTAAGGAACCTTTCCATCAAAGATGTATCATAGATGTCAATTATTTTAGCTTCCAACACTTTTCCCACCAAAAAAGTGGGAAATGTTTAGAACCTTTGGTTTTTATTGCCATGTTCCATCACTATGTGTTGTAAAGTAGCCACCGCTCCAAGCTGACTCCCGTGATTTACTACTATCTTACGCAGAGGGGGGATCTACCATTAAGCCATTTTAGGCAGTCGCTTAAGGCCTAGCAAACACGGGAAGCTACGCAACCTGTTAGGCAGGAGGGGAACCCGAGGACAGAGGGGGCTCTATCACAGGAAAACGGCACCAGTACCAGACGCCCACTCCAGCATCTATTTTTGATAAAAATCCCCTCTGTCCCCGGGCCCTTTGCCGCACTGACAGCAGTAGAGAGGGGACTATTTTTCCTCTTTCGGCTGCTGCGGAAGGATATCGGGCGAGGGCACCTGATTATTACCTTGTAGTTGTGCTGTTTAATGGGTTGCTTGCTGCCTGGCTGGATTTGTACTATATATCAGATGGTCTAATTCTGCATTGCTTGTATGTACTGCTGAGGTTTGTACGCCTCCATAACTGATGGTATTTTTCTGCATTGCTTGTATGTACTGATGGAATTTGTAATCCTCTATAGCTGATGGTACAGGCGTGTGGACATTTAAAAAAACAAAAAATAATTGTCCAAGGACTAAAGCCCACCGCTCCAAGCTGCTTGTCATTAGGGATGCACCGATACCACTTTTTTAAGACCGAGTACCGATACTTTTTTCAAGTACTCACCGATACCAATACTTTTTCTTAAGGGACAGGTAACATTTTTTCTAAAGCAATACAAAATCATGATTTTAGGTCAGTTTCTTAATATTATGAAGAACATGAACATGAAATGAATATTTATCATGCCATTGCTAACTAAGGCTTGTATCCCCATAGTAAGGAAAATAGATGAGCACATGACCGGTGCATCCCTACTTGTCATAATTCAAAAAATACCGTTTTTTACAGCAATTTGCGACCAAAATCCATAATGCAGGGCTGTGGTGGATGGTAGTATGGGGTACAGATATACAACCGTACTGGCGGGAGCCAGAAGCGATTCTGGCGACTTACCTGCTCGTAAGCCCCCCATGTGATAGCAGTCAAAGTAAAAAAAAGAAAAAAAAAGTTTTTAAAATGAAATAAAATAAATCTAATAATAAAAAAAATTAAAAAGTCCCCGGCCCCCGCGAGCACACGCGTCGGGTGCGCCTACGTATGAAACCGACGAACGCGCTACACATGTTTGGTATCGCCACGCACGCCGGAGTTAGAGCAATAATATTAGGGCCAGTATTTTGGGGTATCTCTAAATTGATAACCTGTGGGGGCTTTTAAAGCATCTTCTGTGGACTTTTTGGGGTACTGCAGTTTTTCACCGTTTCACGGACGCACGCAATTTGTAAACTGGGCATGTTGGGTATCGTTTTATTCGTTGTAACCATCTTTTATATTTCATTTAAAAAATGGGTATTTTGTTGTGTTTTGGGGCATTTTAATTTTGTCACTAAATTTTGGGGTTTAACCAGTTGACATCCGCGGTGTTAAACCCCCTTCCCATCCAGGCCATTTTTCAGTATTCAGCGCTGCGGTATTTTGACTGACATTTATTCCGTCATGCAGCGCTGTACTGGGGGGTTTTTTTTCCCCTTTTTTTTATGTGACTTATTTTATTTTACTTTTTTATGTTACTTTTATTTTTTTTAATTTATATTTATTTTTTTGCACTTATTGTTATTGATATTATATGGGGGATAACAATCCCCCTATATAATAGCAAAGGCACACTGACAGGTCCTCTTTATGGAGACATTAGGGGTCTCTAGGACCCCTAATGTCACCTGTGGACCCCAAAAGAAGCTGATGAAGCAGAGATCTGCTTTATCAGCTTCTTCTCTCTGGCAATAGCAGCCAGATGACTGACAGGTGAATGCGGAAGTGATGTTATACACATCACTTCTGCATTCACAGCCCGGACGGAGATCAGCAAGGAGCTGATCTCCCGTCCTCCTCCTCCTGACGCCCTCCGAGCCGGTCCCGGGATTCAAGATGGGGCAGCGGATCCCGGGATTCAAGGTGAGGGGTCAGGGGGGGGAGGGGGATATGTGCCGCGAACGAGCACATATAGGCGATCGGCGGGCTATGGACCCGCTGATCGCCTATATGTCAAACACCCGGTAACGGTTGTGTTTAATGGTCGGATCTTTTCTGCCCGTGCGTGCCCGCAGAAAATAATTGCCGTCTGGAGACGGCAACCCGCAAATGCAGCAGTGCGGTCCGTCCGCTTTTTTACTGCGGACGGCAAGAGGTTAATAAGGAGTTTCGCTAATATAGCGCAACATAAAAATTTGCAACTACCACCATTATATTGTACAGGGTCTTGACATATAGAAAATATATAATGTGTGGGGGTTTTAAGTCCTTTTCAGGCCTAAAATGTGGAATATAACATGGGTGCAAAAAATGAAAAAAAAAAGGCCTGTCATGAAGGGGTTAATGCTATACACACACGTGCGCGCGCGCACACTGCTATAAGCAAAGCTGCCGAGATCACTTGTACAAAGCGCAGCTTCCCTGCTCTACATTTAGTCCTGCTTGCCCACAACAGGGATAAATGTCTTTTTTTTTTTTTTTTAAACAGCCCACCTGGCGCCCGAACTGCATGTCCTGGGCTTCTGGCAATAGAATTTCCGCATCCCTGTCGTATTCTGCATTGCTTGTATGGAATTTGTAGTCCTGTATAGTTGATTATATTCTGCATTGCTTCTATGTATTGATGGGATTTGTAGCAATGCAGAATAATACAATCAGCTATACAGGACTACAAATCCCATCAGTACATACAGCAATGCAGAATAGCATTTAGGACATTGGTGGCCCTGACACTTGCTGGAGTGAAAAGTGGCCAAAGTAAGAAGCCATGTTAAAATTGTTTAATATTAATCATTGCCCTGACACTTGCTGGAGGTTATTGGCTTAAAATATGCAGTTTATAAAGTTCATTTTGTAATTATTGTCTGCATATTTTTTCCCCATTATTGGTGTAAGTTGGGGCCTCATGTTTGAGTTTCGCCTAAGGTCTCAAAGTCTAGAGCCGCCTCTGATCTCACATTTAGTTTACTAATTTGTATTGAGATTGTAGTCCATCACGGCAGCAAGCTTGGGGCGGTGACTACTTTACAACACACACGGGGACCATAGGGAAGAAAAATAAACACCCTCCAGAAGGAAGGACAGTGTCAGCACCAATTCAGAGATGATTTGAGTGATAAAAGAATAAACAGTATTTTTGTTAATGGTTAAGGTGCTTGAATGTATTTCTAAGATTTAACTCCTGAGTTTAGTGTCAATTTAAAGAGCCACCTCCTTTTTTTTTTGGCTGTATGTGTGATGTCTGGGAAGCAAACACTAGACAACTTCCAAGATGGTGCTACCTTCTGAGTTAGTGGTGAACAGGCCTGCAAAGAAATGCACAGTAAGCTTCATAATGGTTTATAAAGTGATTTCCAAGCACTTTTTTATATCTTTGCAGATGAGGTAGTGACTTTTTTTATGGTGGCAGTGTGTAAGGCTTAACACCTTTTGTGAACTGTACTTTAAAGGATTACTAAACGTGAATTTGAGTTACGAACACATTAAAAAAAGTCCAGCTCCAGGGAAATTTTAGAAGTTGTTAACCATTTGCTGCCCAGTGCAATTTCTTACATATGCACACATGATAAAATCTGAATTTTTAGCTTGAAAACAGTTTCAGACCCCCCAAACAATGAATATTTTCCGAAAGCAGAGGCCCTGTAGAATAAAAAGATGCTTGTTGCCATTTTTTATTTTGCACGGTATTTGCGCAAATGTTTATCAAACCAAAGTTTTTAGGATTAATCACTGCAATTTAGTGCACAGAAACAGAATATAATGCCCAATTTTTTGATAAAATATAAAAGATGGGGGTCACGCCGGGTAAATAGATACCAAATATGTCAAGCCTTAACCACTTCCGGGCCACAATACGTCTATAGACGGCTGGTATTGTTTTTAACAGCAGACGATTGCTGTGAATGTACAAGCGATCCGCTAAGCACAATCATTCTAGGGCAATCAATCCCTGTTGGCATTAAACTGATCAGTAAAAGTGTTGAAAGTATTCCCTATGGGAATACTGGGTATTGACGTTTTTTGCAGCTTCACGTGCTAATGCAATTTTTAGGCTTGACATGTTTGGTATCTCTTTACCCGACAAGAAGAGGGGGACATATGCTGCCCAAGTGCTGTCTTTCTAGGGAGAGCAAGACTGAACTCGCCAGGGCACCTTTATTGTATCTATAGACTTTACAGTATAATCACTGCTGTACCACCAATATACCACAACCATGTGTCCAGCCAGTCCTATAACTATTAGCCACTCACCGTCATAAAGCAGCACAATCCCATACGGTATGATGGAGAATCCCCTCTCGAATACAACAATCTTTATGCCAAAAAGTGTGTGTGTATAAATGCATAGCTACACTCAGAGCAATAGAGATGGGAGTGAGACACTTTGCATACCCACACGAATTTCCTGGTCCCCGCAAGACTTATCTAAAGGAATTGGTGGTGGTCCAGGCAAAGCTGGACATGTATTGGGGGGACTGTCTATGCTCAGTCCTAATTTTACTTCCATGAAAGGTAAACTGAATCTCCATACAATCACTCATCTGTTCTATTACGTTGAGCAACACAGGAAGTCTTAAAGCTGGGTTTTACTGTTGCTTACTGAAGGACTAGAAACTGGCAAACTGTATGCCAATTCTCTGCTAGTATGCTAAGATGAACATCTTTAATTCAGCTATGCTTTTTTTAATGACCTGCAATTGTTGTTTTTTTTTCTTTTAAGACCCATTCACCCTGTTGCTACTAGAGGTTCTCCCAGTTAAGAGCTGGTAGCATTGCCTTTGTACTTGCCCTCTCTCTAAGTAGAAAGGTTTAACACTGTCGAAGTCAAGTGTCATGCGCACATGCCTTCTATTTCCTGCCATATTGCTTCTCCCTGCTGCTGCTTCTGCTTGACAAGTAACATAAAACTTCTGTGACTTTGGTCACCACCACTTTGGCTGCTGACCCTCACCTGCTACCAGGTGTCCGGTTGAGCTTTTTGCTACGATCATGCAGGACTTTATGGCTCCAATCATCCAGTTATTTTACGACTCTGATTGCAGGGACCACAAGCGTGCTCCCACGCAGTCTCCAGTAGATATTGTTTTTGTTTCTTTACAAAGGTTCGAATCTTCCTGACAGATTGTATGATTGTCCAAGTGCTTGTTGGGATTTCCATGTGTATCATGTGTCTGACTGTCTTGTTCGAAGTATTTAAGCTCTATTGCCTGGTGGCAAGAGTGCTTCCCCAGCAGAAGAACCCAAGAGCCAGAATGCAAAGTAGGCTCCCTCTTTGCGCATCAAGAAGCCACTTTTTTTTTTTTTAAATAGATTTTTTTTTCTGGTCAAACCCTTTTGTTCATGTAAAAGAAGAAAAAAAATCAGTGTGTCATTTTTCACATGTTATCCATTACTATTAACTTTACACATAAGATTTTGAAGGTGTTTACTTTTCATTGCTTTTTATATTGGTATGTAATCTTCATATTTTTTTTTTTTCAGGGGATAGTTCACCGCCTAGTGTGGTTTACCAAAATGAAGAAGGAAAATGGGTTACTGATCTTGCTTACTACAAACCATTTGATAGTGAACATACTGCAGATTTTCCTGGAAAAGTTGATGACCAGTTTAATGAGGGAAATTTTATTGTTGGAAGTAAGGATTTGTAATTCAATTCAAACCTGCTAAGCATTTTCATAACTGTGCATTTATAAAGCAGTGAATGGGACACTCACTGCAGGTAAATTAATCGCTGTAATTTACCCTAAGCTCAGTATACCGCGAGCTACAGCTGTGTCCTGTGAGGTTACTCAAACTGATTAAGTTAGGACAAAAATCCTAATTGGCTTAAGAAAACTATACATTGAGGAGTAGTGCCAGACATGCTAAAGAAATAGGTTAGAGGTTTTAATGCTCTTTAACAGTAGACAGGTTAGAGAGAGACCAATTTCCTTTGCTTTTGTCCACTTCCATTTCTTCATGCTTTTGCCTTATTGAACATGTCTAGGTTGAATGACTTTCTGGCTCTGTTTACCGCATCTGCAGGTTTGTGCGGTCATAAAGTGAGTTTACTTGGGACCGTGCACAAGTGACATATCTAACTCAGATGCCAAGCTACTAGACTTTGGTAGGTCAAAAATCTGAAACCTCTGGGCTTTAAAGAGTTGTGTTAAACAGCCAGTCCAGGCTGGTGTATGACCAGTGCCAATTATATGCATTTTGATTTGGATCTAATGACCTGGTTTCGAAAGTACTCGGTTCTGTTCTCTAATTATTGTGTTTCTGTTATAGGTGATGTCATAGCAAAGCTAGATGAAGACCAGGAAGAATTTGAAAAGGAGCACCGATTTATTCAGGTATTTCCATACAATTTATTGATATATTTTCTCTCCATGGCATATTAAAGGAGAACTATGAGTTGAGTGCTTTTCACTCACCTCATAGTTCTAGCCGACTTGTGACAATGAGACTGTTACAAGTCGGCTCAGTAGATCGGGAGGTGAGCGAACACATACCGGCATTCGCTCACCTCTCGATCCTGTCACGGCTCTCTGCCGTGACAGGGGAGGGGCTGGATTCCCCCCCTCCCC